ACATACTTTAATTTTTTTATTTACATATTGTAATATATGGCCATATTAAATCACAAACCCAACTACAATATTTGACAAGTGAAGCATAGATAAGATACTTAGATTTATATGTTGAAATTAGCAATAAATTGTACTCTAATTTATAAGATCGTTTAAATTATAACTTTCTAGATATTTTTTTCAAAACTATGCTTATTTAAGTAATGTAGGAAGTCAAATAACATTATTCATATGATTTTTAAAATTTATTCCCATCGATAAGGATTCACGCGCAACGCGCGTACTCTAAAACTATCCCGTCTAGGCACGAAAGCCCTTAACGAAATGTTGTTCGCCTTTTTTGTCTTTTAAAATTAGAGTTCACACTGAACAAAATTGTCATTTTATATTTTTACTACGACTTTGAAATCAACTAAAATTTTAGCTATTAAATCTTTACTTATTTAAAATATATAAGAATTGCTAAAATTTAGGACCTTATAAACAAAGATAGATATAGAAGCTATAGCCCTAGAAATTTTTTATTCTTTACAGACATCATAAAACCTAAAATTATCCCAAGAAACAAAAAAAAAAAAGAGAAATTATTTTTTTGGTCGAAATTAGAACTTTTATTCCAACCTTTTTAGCAAAGTTATACCATCTGCTCTCTATGGACTTTGGAGCAGATCTCAAAATAAAAAAACAAATTATAAACAAGCCTATGCAACTCTTCTGTTGCTATTCTATAACAAACATATAACTATCCTATATACAACTAGGATAGTTGTTTAACCTTTCCAGTAGTGGCTTCCATTTTAGTTCCTTTTGTCCTGTAATATGAATTTGGACAGCAATATCTTTTGCTCTGTCTTGTACTGTCTTCTTGCATTTTGAAATCTTCTATTGTTTCTTTCCATCCATATGTTGTACATCACATCAGCAAACACAACTCCTAGTATAACTCTCTTTGGGTTTCTGTTATTCACATTCTTGATTAGCCAGTTTACTTCTTCTTTCCAATTTTGAGTTCTTCTGTGATACCCCAGCCATGTTAACATACTTTCCCATAGTTTCTTTGAGTATGAACACTCAAAGAATAAGTGTTCATGAGTCTCAGTCAAATCTCTTTCACACAGAACACATCCTTGTTCAACATGAATTCCCCATTTCATCAATCTATCAACTGTTGCCAGTCTTCTATGCATTGCCATCCACACTATGAACTGTTGCTTTGGCAGACTACCATTGATCATTGTTACAGATTTCCATCTCACTTTAGGCCATTCTGGAGAGCTTTTTATATATGTTGTTTTGATGCTGAATTTCCCATTCTTCACACAGGCCTGTATTTTTTGCATATCATTTTCCCACCATTCTCTTGCATTGAATATTTTCCTTACAAGCCAACTAGCTTGTTTAGGAACTTCCATACTTGTTATATCTTGCTTCTTTATGTATTGGCCATGGATCCATTTTATCCAGAGTTTATCCTTCTTGTTCACTATTGCCCATAGTAGTTTTGTTATTGCTGCCTTGTTCCATGCTTCATAATTGATTATGTTTAGTCCTCTTGCTGCTTTTGGCTTACACAAAGTCTCCCAGGATATAGGATTTCTCTGAGTGGTCTCATTGCTTCCAGTCCACAAATACCTCCTGCATATGCTATCCACCATTTTTACAATTTTCTTAGGGATGAGGAACACTTGAGCCCAATAAGTCTGCATTTCAAACAAGACACTCTTGATAAGCTGTAATCTGCCTGCATATGAAAGAAACTTGGAGGTCCAGCTTCTAATTTTGTCCACAATTCTTTCCACCAAGGGCATACATTGTTGTATGCTGATCTTTTTTGCAGATAATGGTACTCCCAAGTATTTGAATGGTAAGGTCCCTTCTGATAATTGCAACTCAGCTAACATTTTATCTTTGAATTCCTTTTTAACTCCTGCTATATATAATGAACTCTTGTCTATATTAGCATGCAATCCTGAAACTTCAGAGAACTGTTGGAAACATCTGATCAGCATCTTCATTGATATTTCATCAGCCCTGCAACACATAAGAAGGTCATCTGCAAAGCAGATGTGGATAATCTGCAGTTTACTGCATTTAGGATGAAAATTGAAGTTTGGTGTCTTTGTCAGAGCTTTCAGAGATCTGTTGAGGTACTCCATGGCTAGGACAAACAGGTAAGGTGACATGGGATCTCCTTGCCTTAAGCCTTTTCTTGCTTCAAACTTCTCAGTTAGACCTCCATTCAACAATAATGAGTAGCTTACTGTACTAACACATGTCATAATCAATTCCACTAGCTTAAAAGGAACACCAAACTCCAGTAATACTGCTCTCAAAAATCCCCATTCCACAGAATCATAGGCTTTTCTAATGTCCACCTTTATCATACACTTAGGTGATACATTCTTCTGAGAATATCCTTTGATTAGTTCATGAGTCATTATCACATTATCTAGTATATTTCTCCCTTCAATAAAAGCAGACTGAGCAGGTCCAACCAGGTAATCCACCACCATTTTCAGTTTATTTGTTAAGAGTTTAGCTATGATCTTGTACATTGTTGAGCAACAAGCAATAGGCCTAAACTCCTTAACAAGACTGGGATTTTTTACCTTTGGTATCAATGTGACAGTTGTACAATTAACCTCCTTCATTAGCTTTCCTTTTTGGAAAAAGTTCTGCACAGCATCGGTAACTTCTTGCCCTATGATTGACCAGTACTCCTTGAAAAATTCTGCAGGATATCCATCAATGCCTGGTGCCTTATTATTAGGCAGGTTCCTCACTATTTGGCTGATTTCCTCATTAGTAATTGGAGCTAACAGTTGCTGTTGTTGAATCACTGTCAAGCATGGCCCATCTCTTACTATATTTAGATCAATCCCTGACATTTGGTCTGCTGCTTTCCCCAGTAGCTGCTTGAAGAACTGGATGAACTCCTGTTGGATCGGCTTTGGTTCTGTGATCTTCACCTGATTATCATTGTAAATGCAGTTAACTTTGTTTCTTGCTTGTCTAGCTCGCATACAGGCATGAAAATACTTTGTATTTTGGTCTCCTAGTTATGGTCGAACTAGGAGACCAAAATACAACAACTAAAAGAAGAGAAATTCAAGTTATGGTCGAACTAATTATTTGAAGTTTGTAATGCTTTATTAGAAATTGTAGAAAAATAATACTTCTAAAAGGTTTGATAAAACAATAATTCTTATATGTCGTAAGATTCAAAAAAATAAAATCTTATGGAATGCTATAATAAAATGTCGTATCAAAATATATATTTTTGGTCAAACATAGTAACAATATATAATTTTGTGACCGATATTAGGTTTTCTATCTTAGCCTATAGTTTCTCAATTAATCCTTTCTTATTATAATTATTCAATTTAACTATAATATCTTTCATATTAATTTTTAAATATTTAAGACCTAATAATTAAATATAATTTAATTCTTTTTATTTGAACTATGTAGAAAGATTTAACATTCAGTACTTTAAATAAATTAAATTTTAATTAACTTATATAATTATTTTTTATTTGAAAGATATAACATTGATTCATGTTACAGTTAAATATTTAAAACTTGGGATGAGCTAATATTAAGAATTTGAATCGATAAAACATAAATTAGTTCCATTAATATTAAGGTCGAATGATTAAGTCTAAAAATTCAAATCAATTATTTGTCAAATTCGTCGTATAATTAAAATTATTTTTCAAGTTGACAAAACTCTTAGAATACCTAAATTTGTTTTTATAAGAATAGTATTGGCGGTGAAAGATAAATAGAAAAATAGAAAAGTTTACATGGAAAATCTTACAAATAAGTCTTTTCAAGTAAAATTGTATGCTATATTTTAAGAAGTATACTTTCTTTTTATTACAAACATATTATAGTTAATAGTACTAATATGATTTTCTAAAAAGTCATCTATTCACCGACTTAGTTATACGTAAGACTAGTCTGTTATATAAATACGAACGTTTTTGTATAATTATTTTTTATATTTAAATTCCAAATAATTATTTTATATTATTTCCTAATTAAATAGCTTGATCGACGCAAAATATCGCAGCGAAGTATTTTCTGCCAAACTAGCAACCTTGGGGCCCTCCGTTTAATCTCAGCATAAGTTTGACGTAAAGTACAAGTAGGTATTTTCTAGATTAATATCTCACCGTTAATATTAATCAACGGCTGAAAGTTCGTGTGCGCTTCGGTTCATTGGTAATCCACACGACACCCACTAACTCTCCCCGTTTTCTTCTTCCTCCTCCGCCCTCTGCAACTTCGCCCGCCGGTGCCCCAATTGAACTCTTCAACTTCCTTCCAAAAGCCGTCGTTTTAGTTGTTCTGAAGAATTCACACAACTTTGGACTTCCGTTTTTCATAACGCAAATTGTTTGAGATCCGTTTGGCCTTGATTCTCTCTCCTCCGATCATAGGTTTCTCACTCTCTCTCTCTCTCTCTCTCTCAAACGTAGATGCATACACATACTTGTATATGTACTTATGTATTGTGTATGTGTGTGTGTGCGTGCCCGTGACTATATATATGGACCTTTTAACTGCATGATTCGTTATGCGGGAGGTTTAAGGTTTATTCAGTGTATATTTTATTTTATTTTTGGAGTTATTATAACAGAGTATGAGTTTAAGTTGATTAAGTGAATTCTATAAAGTATTGAAGGGAAAATTAAGTTAGCAGGTAAAATATGGCGTAAGCTCCATGTTAGTTTTCTTAATTACATATTTAGAAGCTACATGAAAGTGCTAATGCGATTTTTTATGATTAAAAATATATTTAGAAAATGTTTGAAAACTTGTAGTCACAGAAAAAATTGCTTTTGACTCCCGTAGGAAAAGTGTCTTATAAAAAGGGACAGAGGAAGTACTTTCTGTCAGCTTTTAAGTGATATAATGGGTGATTTTAAAGGAATAGTTGGTGATTGAAGACAATTAAGGAACATTATGCTAATACCTCATTTGATTTTGGTCAATCATTTGTACAAAATTTATGACAAAGTACAGCTTCTAAAATCTAAAATCCATTATTGAGCTGAAATTATTTGTGCATTTTTTATGTTATTACAGTTGCGTTGTTGACTTGCAGCACTCATGCTTGCTTTACTTTTCTCAACTTCGTTAACTGAATTTGTAACATGAAGATACATGGTAAATAAATGAAATGTAGGATGAAAAGAATAGCAGCTAAAGATGATTGTTATGGTAAATAGGTCGTGACGTGGTTATGTATGGCATCTTCAGGGATATGTGCTGGAGCACCTCTAGAGATGTGATGCGTTTTTCTAAAGTGGTTTACATGTTCTGGGATGGATGTTGAAGTGATCGATGTCGAACAGGGGAATATGCAACACCAAGGTGGCATAACTGATGACGGTGATGATGAACCCAGCGAGAGTGGAGAAGCAAATGTTAATGGAAGATCAAATGCACCTGAACGGGATGAGGTTGTTGAGCCACAAAAGGGTATGGTATTTCATTCTGAAGATCAGGCTAAGAATTTCTATGATGAATACGCTAGGCGTTTGGGTTTTACCACCCATGTCTATCAGTTTAATCGACTGAAGACTGATTTCTTATGTAATGGTTTGAGAACAGTGTACGGTGAATCCTGTGATGCAATGCTTAGAGTGGAGTTAAAAGGTCAAAACAAGTGGGTTGTGACCAAATATATGAAGGAGCATAGTCACTCCCTTGTGCATCCTAATAAGGTGCATTACCACACATCACACAGGCATTTTGAGGTGGCAAAAAAGAATGGACCTGAGAATAATCAGGGTGTAGGAATTGTTCCTAGTGGTGTAATGTATGTCTCTGTAGATGGTAACCGCATCCCTTTAGAGATTAGCCGTGGAGCTAAGAGTACTCGTCCTGCAGAGTCAGATCAAACAGTTAAGGATACTGTACCTCAGAGTTTTTCTCCTAGACAATGCAATCAACGAAGAACATTAGGAAGAGATGCTCAGAATCTTCTTGATTACTTCAAGAAAATGCAGGCTGAGAATCCTGGATTTTACTATGCCATACAATTGGACGAAGATAATCGCATGGCTAATGTATTTTGGGCTGATGCAAGGTCAAGAAATGCATATAGTCATTTTGGTGATGCCGTTATACTGGACACAATGTACAGAGTTAATCAGTGCAGAGTCCCATTTGCTCCATTCACTGGAGTAAATCATCATGGTCAGACAATTTTGTTTGGTTGTGCACTTCTTCTAGATGAGTCTGAGGCTACATTTGTCTGGCTATTCAAGACCTTCCATGCTGCCATGAATGACCGTGCCCCTGTCTCCATAATTACTGATCAGGACACTGTTATACAATCTGCAGTTGCTCAAGTTTTTCCTGGAACACGGCATTGTATCAACAAGTGGCATGTATTAAGGGGTGGCCAGGACAGAATGGCTCATGTATGTCACATGTACCCAAATTTTCAAGTTGAACTCTATAATTGTATCAATTTGACGGAGACAGTTGAAGAATTTGAATCATATTGGGAGACAATCCTTGAAAAGTATGATCTGAAGAAGAATGATTGGCTTCAATCCATATATAATACACGTCGGCAGTGGGTACCGGCTTATTTTCGTGATACTTTCTTTGCAGCCCTCTCTCCTAACCAGGAATATGAATGCTCATTTTTCGATGGCTATGTGAATCAACAAATTACACTGCCATTGTTCTTCAGGCAGTATGAAAGAGCTTTGGAGAATTCATTTGAGAAGGAAATAGAAGCCGATTTTGATACAATATGCACTACTCCACCACTAAGGACACCATCTCCTATGGAGAAACAGGCAGCAACTTTATACACGAAGAAAATATTCTTAAAATTTCAAGAAGAGTTAGTGGAGACATTTGTCTACACTGCAAACAGAATTGATGGAGATGGGGCTCTCAGCACATTCAGGGTTGCAAAATTTGAGGATGACCAGAAAGCATACATTGTCTCGCTGAATATATCTGAACTGAAAGCAAATTGTAGTTGCCAGATGTTTGAATGTAGTGGTATCCTCTGTAGACATATTCTTACAGTTTTTACAGTAACTAATGTTCTTACATTGCCATCTCGTTACATCTTGAAGCGGTGGACAATAAATGCAAAATGCCGTGCTGAATCAGATGAACATGTACAACTACATGGTACCGAATCAATGGCACAGAAATACAACAGTCTCTGCAGGGAAGCCATAAGATACGCTGAAGAAGGGGCTGTAGCTCAAGAAACATATAATGCTGCATTAGCTGCTCTTAAAGAAGGAGGAAAGAAGGTGGCTCTTGCAAAAAGAAATGTTGCTAAAGTTTCACCTCCTAGCTCACAGGTTAGCGGTGTTGGCTATGATGATCGGAGGACGTCTGCCTCTGCTCCGGAAATGACGCCATTATTGTGGCCACGGCAAGATGAAATGACAAAGCGCTTTAATCTTAATGACACTAGTATTCCTGCTAGGACTATTGCTGATTTAAATGCCCAGCGCATGGCCCCTGTGTCTCTTCACCGTGATGATGGTCATGCAGATAACACGGTACTGAGATTCATTTTTATCTTATTTAATTTGACTAGCAGATTTCTTAAGTCAAGCTGTGTGCTATTCTTTTTTTTGGGATTCATAGGTGATTCTTCCTTGCCTCAAGTCATTGACTTGGGTGATGGAGAATAAAACTTCTACACCTGCGAATAGAGTTGCTGTCATCAACCTGAAGGTGTGTTTCAGAGCTTTGTGTATAATTTGATTTTAGTTCAACTTTTAAAGTTTTTCCTTAAAAAAGATTATCATGTTGGTGAATTGATTAATTTTTGTTTATATAATGTAACTGAAATGCTTTTTGGATAGCGATGGAAGAGTGTTCTTCCTTTGGCAACTTTGTGACCTCGTGTGCTGTTATTTAATTTCAGTTATATGCTTATATGTCATGGGTTGATAATTTTATTATTGTTTACTAAGTTTCGTTGGTTGTAGCTGCAAGATTACAGTAGGACTCCTTCACGAGAATCAGAGGTTAAGTTTCAGCTATCGCGTGTCACACTAGAGCCCATGTTGAAGTCTATGGCTGATATAAGCGAGCAGCTTTCCACCCCGGCTAATAGAGTTGCTGTCATCAATCTGAAGGTATGTGGGGAAAATTAGTAATATCATTTCTGTTAATGAACTAACTATTAGGTGTGTATACATGCCATACTTAATTTATTTTCTGATAAGAAGGTGCTACGTTCTATTCCTCTTCACTTCAATCAATCCCCTTTCCACATTTCTTTTATTGTTCCTCTATATTCCAATCTTTGTGTCATCTCCTCCAGTATACCATATTCCTATTTTAAGCATCAATATGTTATTTTCCTCCTGTTATCCGTTGTTATTTTTTCCCCTCCTTTTTGGGAAAGGGGTGTTCATACTATCTTTCCGTTTTCATAGTACCTTGCTATTGTTACTGGTTGTTGTTATTGCTTTTCCCCTCTATTTTCTGGTTCTTGCAATGCTGGTATTATCTTTCTGGCCTCTATTGCTTTTACTGATCTATTGTCTCTTTTCGTCTTCTTGAGCCAAGGGTCTATCGGAAACAACCTCTCTACCCCGGGTAGGTGTAAGATCTGCGTACACACTACCCTCCCCAGACCCCACTTGTGGAATTTTACTGGGTGGTGGTGGTTGTTGTTGTTGTTTTTTGGGAAAGGGGAAGGCAGTTGTTTTCAGTGTAGTCATCTAATTTGGTATGAGGACATAGCAAATCTATCTGGATTCCAAAAAGAACCTGATCTACTGTGAAATACAATGCCAGCACTTCTCGTTGGCAAATGCATTGTCCTTACTCACAAGTCAAAGAGCATGTGGTTGACTACTAGCGCTTTGGGGTGTGGTCAATTTGCTTTTAGTATTGTCAATATCTTTCCATTGCTATGTCTTAACTTGTTTTTGCCTACTTGCTGTATGTTTCTTCCTAAGGTTGTGAATTTCATGGAAACTTGCTGTCTGCCCGTGAATGAATTGAAACTTCTTTCATGTAGATAGTGCTAATAACTCAAGACATCAATCTACAGATATGACCACTCTGCTTAAATGCAGTGTTCAGCTGTTATCTTGTAAAGAGACATCAGCTTCTGCAATGAATTGTCTTACTGATACAGAATCCATTTCTTTTCAGCTTCAAGATACAGAAACAACTTCAGGAGAATCAGAGGTGAAATTTCAGGTTTCAAGAGATACTTTAGCTGCCATGCTGAGGTCAATGGCTTATATCCGTGAGCAGCTATCAAATACAGTAAGTTCCCTCGGCCATTTCGGTAAATATCATCTGTTCTATCCATCCAACTTCTTGAAAAACTTTTAAGATAAAATTGACTTCACTGCTTTGTCATCGATGGAGTTTTCTCCTGTTCCACTGGAATAGACTAGTGTTAAAGCTGAAGCTTGAAATGGTTTTCATGCTGAAGTGCGTCTTCGGTCTGATCCTATCAATTTATCTCTGTCCGGACCACGTGCGACGCAGTAGCTCTTCGCTGTTAACTACTTGAACAATACTCAGAGGAGTTCTTATGACATGAGAATTGGATGTCTGATCCAATGGTTGAAAGTTCACTTTTCAGGTTTATATCATTTTGCAGGGAAATAGTTTTGTCTGCGTATTTTCCTTTTGAATCACATATTTAATCGAATTTTATACCTTTTTTAAAAAAAATCTTAATCTTTTTGTGGCCATTTTTGGCGTTCTGTAGATCCTACAGTTTTTAGAGATCTGCCATCAGCCTTAATAAGAAAACAAAATTCTATTAGAAAAAAAGAAGGAAAACGGCAAGTGGTTATTTAGATGGCTGATCTATAATGAGTTAACAATAGGCAAGAAGACTTCTTTTATCAAACAATGGCAAGTCTGATCTGTCTCTCTACTGATGCTTCTGCTCTTGGCTGTTAACTACTTGACAATACTCAGAGGAGTTCTTATGACATGAGAATTAAAAATTGGATTTAATGAAAATTAAAAGTTCACTTTTCAAGTTTATATTATTATGCAGGGAATTTTTTTTTCTGTTTATTTTCCTTTAGACTCCCATAGTTTAAGTGAACTCGTGTAATTATTTTATTGCTCGATCATATGCTTGTGGACAGTTTTGGCCTTGTGCACGAGAATAGAACAGTATAAGAAAAAAGCAAAAAGGGAAGTGGTCACCTAGATGGCTGATCTATAGTGAGTTGATAATAATAGGCATGTAGATTTCTTATCAAACATTCTAAAATAATACATGTTTCCAGTCCACCAAAAGGAGACAAAACAAAATGAATAAAATCTTGTTTCACTGACTTATAGAACTCACTCTGACACCTTTAGGCCATTTTAGTATTTGATAGATGCCTATCTTTACCTGACTTGTAACAGTAGCATGGAGTAACATGCATGTGTATATACATGTTCAAGTATGTACTTTAGCCATGGACCTTAGAAGGAGAAATAAGCTTGTGTAGTGGCGCTTATTTTGAGGCCATTCCCAGGATGTATCAAAAATCCAAATAGTGTGAAATATTTTTGTAGCTTCCACATAGGAGTTCAGTTCTGATGTCCGACAATATCAATAATTGTGTCTGATCAATTTGACCGATGCATTAGTCAGATCCCCCTTGTTTGTTAGACGTTGACGGTTCACCTCAAATTGGGTTTTGATGATGGCAGGTTGAGTCCCAACTGGAGAATCCGGCAAAAAAGCAGAGGAAATAGATGTTATGCTCTGTTACTATTTATAGCCTGTTGTGTGAATAGATCACCTTGTGGATTGGAGTGCTGCTGATATTCTTCTTTAAACATGTAATTAGTATGGTTGAATCGGGAATGATCCAAGGTGTCATTGTGTAGATTTAGGTAGGATAGTGTTACATGCTTTTCCTTTTCTGCATTACTAGTATCTGTACCCGCGTTTTGCGCGGAAAATGTGAAATATAGCATTTGAAAAGAAAATATTATCTGGAACTTTTTAATATTGAGCCTATACATTGACAATTGGAAGGAACTATGAGATCAGCAAGAACAGAGGTAGAGCTTTCAATTTATAATTTCTATTCTCGGCATCAACAGTAGTAGCAAATGCCGTAATTACAGCTCCAAAGGCTAACTCCTACCTGGGCAAATATGTAAATTGGTACTCAATAATTAGACGTAAATCATGGATATGTGAAGTATACAGTCATAATCACCACAACATTCTTGACAGTTGAGCCAAGGTAGATCTCAGCAATTTCCTTTATCTTTGTCAGCACCATAGAAGAGATTTCTTCAGCAGCAATCTCTTCACTCATGTCACCCTGTACAAATGCATCACTAAACCTCCTAATAAGCCGCTTTGCATTTGCCAACGTAAATCAAAATAAGAACTGCATGATAGAACTGAAACGATATAAATACTTCATGGAATTACAACATAAAAAATATGGACAACTCAATTATTACAACAAAAGCAAAATAGTTCACTTGAAGTGAATCAAAATTACTCAGATAGATATGAACCTCATCGCGGTTGTTATTTTTATTTCTTTCATACCACGATAATCAGAAAATGTTGGTATTCACAAATTACTTGATTTCATGGGGTTGATTTTCACTCTAGGGCTACCAGATGCAAATATCTTATAATAAGTCGATGATTTCAACAGAAGAACCATCATGTTGGTAGCGTTGCACGAGAAACTTGCAATACTGCAAATGCCTCCTTCATTGGCGATTCTGAAAGGTGAAGCAAAGAGTCAATGGATTCCTCATTAGCGGGAAAGCAGCATTCACCGGAGAATTGACTTTCATTTGAAGAACTTTGGCATTTGAATACTTTCTATCACACACAATCACAAGGTATAGATATGGAATTTCCTAATCTTTGAAGTGCACCATGGTAGCTTGTCACGACCCCAAAACCAACCCGGTCGTGATGGCGCCTATCATGAAACTAGGCCATCCGACACATTTCCAAAGTAGTTCAACATTTCATTAAAACTTAAATAGCAACCTTTTTCAACTGAAATTCCCATAAAAATATAAACTCATAAACCAAAATAAATGCGAAAAAGAAAAGACTGACCTCGGGTGCCACTAAGTCATGAGCAATGTTACAATTGTTCCGAAACATAACAAGACCAAAATAGTCCGGAATTAGCCAAAATATACTAGAAGGAAGATAAAGAAGGAGAAAGGCGGAACTGCGGTCGCCAGGCAGCTACCTCGCTATCTCTGGTGATAAAAAACCGCGACTGGAATAGTCAAAAGCCGCTACCGTGCCCTGAGATACATGGATCTGCACACAAGATGCAGGGGGTAACGTGAGTACACCAACTCAGTAAGTAACAAGTCCAAACTATGGACTGATAGGTAGTGACGAACTAAACCTCAGCAATTATAACATAGTTAAATGGGACAGTAAAGTAGGCATGCTGGCAATTCAATTATTCAACTCAACAGTAAGGCAAAATACCAATCCGAACAATGTGGATTGTAAAGCTCAGCAAATCTCTACACGTAAATGCCAGAAATGTATGAAAATGCACTATGTGCTCCCATTCTCAAGTGCTCAACCACTCGGTACCGCATATGGCCATCCAGCCCAGGGAAATCCATCTCGGAATATATACAACACTGACTGCAAGTCATCCAGTACCGAGGAACAAGGGTAATCCAACACTGAGGAGAAATTCATCTCCAGGTATAAATACTTCGGACAAATCCATGCCCAGGGAAATCCATCACTCAATAACATCATCCGCGCTCACTGGGGGTATGTAGACTCCGGAGAGGCACCTTTCAGCCCAAGCGCTATAACAAGCCAATGGAGGCATAATCAATAATCTGCTGTGGCGTGCAGTCGCTATCCCATAATTGTCACTCATACTCAGGCTCTCGGCCTCATTCAGTCATTACTCTCTAGTCTCACGCACACGGCGCACAATGCCATGAAACTAGCCCGAAATAATGATATGATGTGCCAAATAACAACAACCGAGACCAAGACATGATATGATCTCCATGAACAAGGCTGGGTACAGAATATCAATGAAACTAATGAGACGACAGCAAGAAACGACCACTCGGGTCTCGACAGTATCGGCTGAAGCCCTAACATGGTAATTAGCATGATTTACAACTCATTAACTTAATCACATAATCACATCACAGATATCAACAAGAAAGAGTCACTAAGCGGTGCCATTGAATGATCCAGGCCGCAATTCTCACGGTGCACGCCCACACGCCCGTCACTTGGCATTTGCGTCACCTCAATACGAATCATATAACACAACGTTCGGGGTTTCGAACCCTCAGAACCAAATTTGGAAGCGTTACTTACCTCAAACCAAGCCAAATCATACTCCGCTACGCCTTTGCCTCTGGAGTCGGCCTCCAAATGCCCTGAATCTAACCAAAGGCAATGCAACGCAATCAATATAGGCCAAGGAATCAATTCCAAATGAAAAAACTATCAATTCAAACCAAACTCCCAAAATTCGCCCAAACCTGCCCCCGGACCCAGGTCTCGGAATCCGACAAAAAATACAAAACTAGGAACTCCTTTCACTCCCGAGTCTATACATACCAAAATCATCAAAATCGGACCTCAAATGGTCCCTCAAATCCTCAATCAAAACTCTCCAAAACTCAAGCCCTAACCCTTCCAACTTCTCTCCAAAGTCCCACTAATTCCATGATTAAACAGTGAAAAAACCATCACAAACACAAATAATAATGCCCAAGTAACTTAACACATTGATACCCTTCGATTCCCTCTTGAAATCACTGCTCTAAGCTCCAAACTCGTCCAAAAATGGTGAAGAATGGGCAGAAATTCGTGAAGTGAGGCTTTTATAGTTTCTGCCCAGGAGACTCGCACCTGCGGTCCAAATGAGCGCACCTGCGCTACCGCATCTGCGGTCCATCAGGCGCACCTGCGGATTCCACTGACCCGTAAACTTCTGCATCTGCGGCTACACACCCGCACCTGCACCTGCGGCCTCGCTGGTGCGATAAAACCACCGCACCTGCAGTAAAGCTTCAACTGGTCCAAAACCGCATCTGCGGCCTCCCTCTCGCATCTACGACCTCGCACCTGCGGTCCCCAATCCGCAGGTGCGGAAATGACAGAAGCTCAAACCAAGCTCCAATCTTTCCGTTAACCATCCGAATTTATCCCGAGGCCCTCGGGACCTCAACCAAAAGTACCAACAAGTCATATACCACTATCCAAACTTATTCAAACCTTCGGAACACTCCAAAAAACATCAAAACACCAAATCACCCTCGGATTCAAGCCTAAGAACTTCTAAACTTCTGAATTCCGCAAACGATGCCGAAACCTATCAAACCTCGTCCGAATGGCCTAAATTTTGTACACACGTCATAAATGACACTACGGACCTACTCCAATTTCTGGAATTCCATTTCGACCCCGATATAAAGATTTCCACTGCCGACCGGAAAATGCCAAATCTCCAATTTTGCCAATTCAAGCCTAAATCTACCACGGACCTCCAAATTACATTCCGATCATGCTCCTAAGTCCAAAATCACCTAACGGAGCTATACGAACCATCAGAATTCACATATGAGTTCTTCTACACATAATTCAACATCCGGTTTGACTTTTCCAACTTAAGCTTCTAAATAAGAGACTAAGTGTCTCGTTCCACTCCAAAACCACTCTGAACCCAAACCAACCAACCCGATACCACACGATACTGCTGAATAACACATAAAGAAGCAGAAATGGAGAAGACGGGGCTATAACTCATGAAACGACTGGTCGGGTCGTTACATCATCCCCCCCTTAAACAAACATTCGTCCTCGAACGAGTCTAGAAATATACCTGAAGCCTCAAACAAGTGTGGATATCTGCTCCGCATCTCTCGCTCAGTCTCCCATGTAGCCTCCTCCACGGGCCGACCTCTCCAGTGCACTTTCACTGACACTGTATCTTTGACCTCAACTTTCGGACATGCCGCTCCAAAATAACAACTGGCTCCACATCATAAGTCAAATCACCGCCTAACTGAACTGTGCTGAAATCCAAAACATGATACGGATCGCCAATATACTTCCGGAGCATAGAAACATGAAATACTGGATGCACACTCGACAAGCTAGGTGGCAAAGCGAGCTCATAAGCCACCTCCTCAATCCTCCGAAGCACCTCAAAAGGCCCAATGAACCGATGGCTCAATATACCCTTCTTCCCAAATCTCATAACACCTTTCTTGGGGGAAACCTTTAGTAGAACCTTTTCCCCGACCATGTAAGACACATCCAAACCTTTCTGTCAGCATAACTCTTTTGTCTTAACTGCGCTGTACGAAGCCTCTCCTGAATCACTTTCACCTTGTCCAAAGCATCCTGTACCAAGTCTGTACACAAAAGCCTAGCCTCGACCGACTCAAACCAACCTACCAGAGATCTACATCGTCTCCCATATAAAGCCTCATATGGAGCCATCTGAATACTCGACTGATAACTGTTGTTGTAAGCAAACTCCGCGAGCGGTAGAAATTGGTCCCATGAACCCCAAAAATCAATGACACAAGCGCGCAACATGTCCTCCAATATCTGAATAGTGCGCTTTAACTGCCCGTCCGTCTGAGGGTGAAAAGCTGTGTCCAACTCAACCTGAGTACCCAACTCTCGCTGCACAGCCCTTCAAAATTGCGATGTAAACTGGGTACCTCTTTCTGAAATGATGGAAACTGGGAAACCATGCAGGCGGACAATCTCTCGGATATAAATCTCAGCTAACGGCTCTGAAGAATAGGTAGTACACACAAGAATGAAGTGCGCAAACTTGGTCAGCCGATCCACAATTACCCAAATAGCATCAAACTTTCTCAAAGTAAGTGGGAGTCCAACTACAAAGTCCATGGTGATCCGCTCCCACTTCCACTCTGGAATATCCATCTGCTGAAGCAAGCCACCCGGTCTCTAATGCTCATATTTCACCTGCTGACAATTGTGGCACCGAGCTACAAACCCCACTATATCCTTCT